TATTTGTTGCAATTGTCTTATTTTATTTTTGCAGACTTCCGGAAGAAATTCAACACTACATTGATGTAAGATTTTTTTTTATTTACATAAACAATGATCAAAATTTTGTCGCTATTTAAATATCAACTTTTATTGGAAAATTGATCAAATTTATGTAACACTATTCAATAAATGCAAATTCTCATTTTTCTCATTTTTTTCTTTTTTTATAGAATTCACTACTTCCGGAAGCTATCGGATACTGGCAACAGGCTCTTTCGGTTCGTCCAACAATTTCACCAATTCGGTTATATAGGTTTGTTGTATTGTCTTCCTTTTTTTTCGATTCTGTTGCCTTTTGCAGCTGAGTAAGTTAGTAGTTACCGAAATAAAGTTACTTGACCATTCAGCCAGCGTTTTTGTTTACGTGCTAAAAAAAGTTAATATACTTGTTTTAATTTATGAAATGGCAAACAGTGATAGCAGTTACAGAAAATGTGTTTCCAATCGCTATTACACTCGTCCTGGTGATAATTATCAATCCTGTGAAAAAGCATGCCGAGAAAATACAACATGCGGTGAAGTTATTGTACCCGATGAACATTTATATGTGTGTTTTCCAGATTTTTAAAAAATAAAACTGAAAAATTTGTTTTGATCAGTACATGACAGCTCTACTGTTTATTTAAGAACCAACTTTTAATATCTGCATATCCGCTCAGTAGCAGGCAGAAAGCAGCTTCAATATTTTAGCAATGTAAATATTGTCTGGGAAAGGATATACGAAGATGCGATAGCAGTGGTCTTCCAGATGGACCTGGAGTAAGTGGAGCTGACTTTTTGCTCTATGTTTCAGCTGTCAAGTCCGAAAGATGCGTTGGGGTTGATACAGTTGCATATGCAGCTCATTGTCAACAGGAAGCCATATTTGATCGGTTAGGCTTTTTTAGATACATATTTTGACCACTTCAAAACCGAAGTTTAGTTTTCTCAACTGTTGCTTTCTTTTCATTTTCTAAAATTAGAGTCTTTTAAGTCCAATTGCCGGACATGTTAATCTGTGTCCAAGTGCATTGTCGGTAGAAACGCACGATCGTGAAGTGTTACTGTCAACGGTGAAACATGAAATTCTTCATGCCTTAGGATTTTCAGCAGGGCTTTATGCATTCTTTCGTGATGAAAATGGCCGTCCTAGAACCAAACGGTGGTTGCTTTCTTTCAGATTTTGCTTCAACTTTTATGACATTTGATGGTGTTACAGTGAAAACTGATTTTTCAATCGGAAGCGATTTTACAACACTGATCTCAAAAATGGGATTTTAGGAATCCAAATAATAAGCCAGAATCTTTGAACGTCGAGCGTGGGTATTATAATTGGGACAGCTCAACTATTCGAACAATTGTTCGTGATGACTGGTGGACTGCGAAGGGACGGGTAAGCAAAAAGTATTGAACTTCGTAACAATGCTTCGGCTTTCCATCAGATTTTGCAAACGGACTTCTTTTAATGGAAAAAAATAACAATTTTTCATCGACTGCGATTGCAGACTTTGCATGAGGTGCATGTTATGGTTACTCCTCGAGTTCGAAAGGAAGCGATCCTCCATTTTGGATGTAAAGATCTCGAAGGTGCGGAACTGGAAAACCAGGGTGGCGAAGGTACCGCGCTCACTCACTGGGAGAAGCGGCTTTTCGAGGTAAAGTTTTAAAAGAAGTTATTATCATTAACCAGGACCTAATTTTGACGACATTTACTCTATAACATGTTTCTGGCACTCGTTACAAACAGTTTTTACACACTGGAAAAAATGCATATTTAGAACGAGGCAATGACTGGAACACACACTCAGAACCCAGTTTACTCAAGGCTTACTCTCGCTCTTTTAGAAGATTCTGGATGGTACAAAGCGAATTATAGGTTATTTGATTGTTGATTTCACTTATTTTAAAGATTTTTTTTTCAAATTTTCAAGCTCTATGTCAAGTGAAATAAATATTCCGAATATCAGCAAAATTTCAACTTATGAGTTCATGCCTAGATGCTCAGTGTTTAAAAATTCTAATGAAATTCTCTTCAGTCTTATTTTTTTCTGTGAATTAATATGTAACAAAAAACAGTCTGGGACGTTTAATTTCTATCACTTTTAATCTCGTATCAAAAAAAAGTGAATGTCTGTCTATGTGTTGGTATTGCTGGAATTTCAGCGTTGCCGAAACGTTGCATTGGGGTAAAGATCTTGGGTGCGAGTTTGCAATGAAAAGTTGTGGTGAATGGATACAAAATCAACGCCAACGGTAAGCTGGGAGAAAAATACGATTTATACGGGTATTTTACTCAGGAAACTGAA